TATAGGTAGGGGAACTTATAACGGAGACAAGTGGTCGCAGCGACTTGCCAGGTTTGTGAATTTTTTCTGATAGAACGTATATTTTAGGAACTGTATGATTAGAAACCTGTAAACCCCTTGTTCAAAGCCAGACAACCTATTTCTACTATCGTTTTTAAAATTTCAGACAGAAGCCAAGTTGAAAATGTCGACATACATGTCAGATCACCCCGAAGTCAAAGACATTCTTGCCGATTATCTGAACAACATCCTCTTGTTGAAACCTGAAAATATTCTTACTTTTACACAAGACTTTTTTGAAAGCTTGTGCCCCATGAAATTAGCCAGGATGGGATATTTCGAGCAGAATGGCAACAACTATGACAAAATGTTTTGAAACTAAGAGAGATGTAATTTTGAATAAATTTTAGTGAAATATCTTGNAGTGAAGTACCTTGTTTTGTTATCATCAGTCGTGTTTATTTACGAGGTTTGTTGAAATATAGGGTATACGTTCAAATTTTGCGGACTACATACATTTGATTAGATTTGTTAATTTTTTTTATGTTGGTGCACTGGTATCGAACATATGTTTACAGTTTCAGCTGTTGAACTCTTAAACAATGAAACCTGAAACGAAAATACAATAAAATTATTAAAATAATCAAGATACAAAATGAAAATGACTACAGAGTAAAAAGAAATAAAAAACTTGGTTTGTAGTCATTTTTTTTATGTATCTTGATTACTTTATTCAGTTTATTGTATTTCCATTTCAAGTTTCATTACCTAATATAATTGTTTTTTGCTATTTTATTTGTTCTTTTATATATTTTGAATCATAGTAGAATCAATGCAAGTCCGAACTAATGAAATTCACCATGAAATATTGTCAATCACTTTCAAGCAAAGGAAATCAGTATCGGGGAAGCTTACCTTTCTTTATTTTTGCTCAGAAGTGTAGCAAATTCCGCAAATGGTTCCATTTTTAGGCATACAGTGTGAATGGAAGGCGTGTTTACAATTGAAAATGGCCATATTTGCAGCCCTCGCAGGATCTGAAATCGAAAAATTTGCCAAATGCGTAATTTAACTAAACTGTGTGCTTTACCTCTTTCTATGAGTTTTCTGTGACAAGCTCCGCAGACCATTTCTTCTGTCACAGAGAGACCTCTTTGGTGAACGCTCACCAATTTCTTTTGCAAGTTGAAATAATCTGATACAAGGATTTTTTTGCAACCTTCTTGAACCGACACCTATAACATTAATTCATGGATGAATAAACAAATAATAAACTCTTCCAAGATGAAATGATTTTGCACATTACGTCAATCTCAACAGTTTTTTTTTTATGGTCTTGTACAACTAACAGGTTTATTTAGTTTATTTTGAACACCAATTTCCGGAAAATAATTTATTTTCATTAACATTAACTCTTTACAACATGTCTGAACATTATATATATGAGCATATTACAAGAAATGAATTTGTTAAGTGTTTCATACAGCACAACAAATAACCCGATTCTGTTGGAAACGCTTCCAGTTTTGACAGTTAAAAAAACAACTAATTACCCACATTCATAATAATGTTATACAGTATGGGTATGCGAAAGATTTGTTCAAAGTGGCAGCCATTCGAACTCACAATCAACCAAAAACAACAACAAACTGATTATTGTGGGCAGTGTTTGAAGCTGTTCCACTATAAAAAATATGGATGAAACATGGCCCCATCATTTCACACCAGAATCAAAACAATGTGGAATGTTCCTCAATTTGGGTTATTACAGCAAATGCAAGTTTGACCAAAATAATTGAGTTCAATTCATGAGTATTTCAAATTCTATTCGAAAAGTATTCAAATTAATGTTTCAAATGTTGGGTTTTAATTTTTAAAGGGATTTGTTTCTAATTCACATATTGGCAACAGCGCCTATATCAAGTAGAAATAATTTATATGTACCTAGATATTCTACTTTAAAAAAGGAAAATTATCTTCATAAATCAACAATCAAGGCAAAATATAAATTATAGTTCAATACCACCTCCACAAGCCACATAATCAACAGTTGTTTTGTTATTTATTTATATAGAGGAAGATAGGTTAGGTGCACAAAATGTCATATGCCACAGAATATCTCGGCGCCTCTGAAATATGTCATCTTTGTTTGTCTCATACAGGTAACAGATTCATTGTCCTTTATTAGCTATAACCGATGTTGCCAAATGGTGAAATAGAAACGAATGCCTTTAAATGTTGAATGCATTATTTCATTCCTCTTTTTCAAGTATTCAAATAATTTTTTAAAGAAAAAGGTTGAAATTATAAGTTTAAAATGCATTGTTTCAGAGCTTTTATGAAAACTATTTGATTTTCGTCAAGAGGAACATTCCCCATTGCCATCTGAGTGGACTGCACGTGGTGAACCGAATCCAAAGCGTGCATATACCCAATTCTGCTGGCAAGATTTATGGTATCAGTATTTTGGGATGCACATGGTATACAACTATCTTGAAAAGGGAAAACCATCAACATTGATGGTTACCTTACACTTACCTGCAAATTGTACTGGTTCAACATTTTAACAAGGGAATTTTTCAATCCTGGTATTTCCATGTCTTGCTTTATCTTCAGAACCAGATCCGTGGGATCCACGTATGTTCCAATGCCTTCCAAGAGGAAAGTTACAAACTCTGAGAAGAAAAAAAAAACAATTCATGAATTCGACTACCTTTTCGTGGAGAGTTGCAACTTCACCTGGCTTATCAACGCAGTGGTTTATCAGATCGTCCCAAAGATCGGAGTCGTCGTGTTCCCGGCAAAAAGAAATGGCGTACTGCATATCTTTCAGCTCCTTGATTATCAACTCTAGCGCTTCTTTGGTGTCTCCTATCCTACCTGAAATGAAACAATTAGATATTATTCCTTACAAAATGTATTTCACCTTTAAAATGTTTCAATCTGTTTCATTATGGCGGATTATCACCAAACGGACAAAACCACAACAAAATAGCAACTGTATCGACTTCGACAAAACAAAAACTTGAGTTGTCATAATAAGAAACATTTTGAAGACTTTGTGTAGCGGGCGACTGTTTTTGTCAACAGTGAAATGTCCCGTCGGCAGGCGGAAAAATCAAAAGTTTTCAGAGTTTTGTCTGTGTTTTTGTAAACATAGTTCACTATGTGGAAACGGTCTGCGAAATTTTTACTTTATTTAAAGTGTAGGCACTAGGTAGGCTATTTTTATTGATTTGTTGTATTGCTCATTTCAAACAAAAATGAGATTTGATTTTCCTTTGTAGAACATGAGGAGAGAATAGCAATATACAGACAGTCGAAGAATGCAACAATTTAATTGGTGTTTGTGCAGTGGAAACGATAGAAAACTGTTCAACAAAACACGCGACTCTGACAAGTTTTTGTCTGTTTGGTGGAATTCGTGCTTCGAGTTTGTTTATCGAAACTTAAACAAGTTTTTTGTTTCTGTTTTTGAAAAGGAAAACTAGTCGCAAGCGAATCCGTTTGGTGAAAATCCGACTTTACACCTTATTAACTTTACCTAATAAATACACCATCTCGGGATAGTACTTCTCTTTTTGGCAAATGTCCAGCGCTTCTTGAATGGGATAATGATCAGACTTTTTTAGAAAAGGTAACAACTTTTCCCTAGCGAAAATGGCGTAAAGCTTCACAAGCTCTTTATGGTATTTTCCTTTAGGGTTTTTCTTGTCGTACTCATCTAAAAACTGCCGAAAATAGATGTACAAGAGATTCATTAGTTGGTCTTGCTTCTCAACTTACTCTATAGAGATGCAATTCGTTTCCCTTCAATCTCTCGACGACCCTCTCGGAAGTGATCGAATTCCCATTAGAGTTCTTCTCCAAGAGCAATGATATAGTCTTTTTATAGTCCAAGTCCATCAGATCGAGGAGCATGTCGAGGATGACTCCGTGGAGCTTGTGTTTCTGGATCAACGTGAACACGTCTTTGTGTTTCAGCCTGAAAATGACTCAATATCACTTAAAACTTTCCAAATTACGGTCTCGAGCTGCTCACTTGAGAAACATGGACAAGCTCTTGTCGTATTTCTTGTCGTAGCTGTACAGGATCGCGAGAGCTTCAAGGTAGTCATTTTTTTCTATTTCGCAGGTGAGAAGATGCTCCAGAACTGCGTTTATGACCGCACAAACGTTGTAGAGTCCTGGATCCCACTCCTTCACGAGATTCAAAAAGCCCTACAACGTAAGAATATTTTTAGCGAGGAAATCGGAACATGATGGAGTTTCGCATACTTTTGCATCCAGTTTAAGATATTCGTAGAAAATCATTTCGTAAATGTGAGGGTTCAGTTTGGATTCCGGAGTGCAGGGAATGTAAGGACTGACCGACCTAAAAATAACAAGTTCATTGAAAACGTTCGACGTGAATATTGATTCTAACCTCAAATGATGGATACTCGCGAACTTGTAGATCTGGTCCTCCCACAGGGCGGGATTCTTTCCAAATATTTTGAGGCCTATTCTTCCGGCAGCGTCGTACGAGCCTCTTGCAATCAAATGGTCAAGATAGTCAACTCCGACCGACTGCATAGTGTGTCTCAGAATTCCGCGGGTACCGTTTTGCACGAGGATGTCCAGAGCATCATCGTATTTGCTGAAAAGGAAATTATTCTCAGTCTTTTCACTGAAATATTACATGTTTATGAACAAAGCAGAGGTGATGAAACTAGTTGACTAGATAAGTGCTATATATTAGGTTGTTTGAAATGTCCTGTCCGTTTTTATGAATCTACTTTGAACTGTAATATCTCAGTGAATTCAATTGAAAAAGGCGCCATTTAAATCTGTGCAATTTTTCCAACGTAACACAAGTTGATTAATTCCATCAGCATAAAAATAGTGTACTCTGAATTCGATGAAGTCCGTTTTTGCCTGGTACCTACTGATTGGCGAAGGTTCTACCAGTGAGAAAGTTATGGAAGTGCTTGAATAGATGGTAGTCGATTGGCGAGAGGTCTGAAAAGTATGGTGGGTGAGGGAGAACTTTGTCACTCAGTATGTTTAATTTTCGGATGGTGATTTGTGGAACGTGCAGACGAGGGTTGTCGTGGAGCAGATTCAGACCCCTTCTGTCGATCAGTGCCAACTGCTGATGCAGTTATCAGTACATTTAATCGATTTCCTCACAATAGAACTCTTCTGTGATGGTTTGGCCCGGTTGCAGAAACTTATAGTGAATCGCACCAGCCGATGTTCACCATACAGTAACCATAATCTTTTTTTTGGTGACGTCACCAGTTATGACCCTTTCAAGCAGATCTGGGTCGCCGTTGATGTCATTCAACAATTCCTGAGCGATGCTCATCCTACGTTTTTTTGGGCCAAATCTCAGCAATTTTGGAACAAATTTCGCTGCGACACGTTTCGTGCCCAAAATTTACGAAAAAATTGCATGGCACGAACTAACCTATAAGTCGACATCCTCAGCAACTTCTCTAATAGTGATTCTCAACATTTTAATGGGTCGTTGATGTGCTGGGGCGTCCACGGCGAGCGTCGACCTTCTGTGAAAAACTTGTTCGCTTGTAAACATTTTTATAATTCATAGTACAATTTCGTACGCCACTATCAACATTCCAAGTATTTTTGAGCACTTTATTCTATTTTTTACACAAAATTTGATGAAAATTCTTTGATCCAATTTTTTTGATAGCAAAAATCGACCAACATGCAAAACACTTCTAACTTTTATGCTTCTCACCAACAAACTAAATATGCTAAACAGCTGAAATAGTGAACATATATTCGAGACAAGTGTACCAACTTAAAATTGCTAACCAAATATAAGTAACCCGGGAAGTTTAAACATTCACCTTATTTTTTTGCACAGACCTCATATACATATTTTGAAAAATAATAAAGACACATTATTGTTATTTCTCAAATTTATCTTACTTGTGCTGTATAAACCACTGTATTCTGTCATCGAGATCGTATGGACTGGCAATGACAACGTCCTTGGGCGCCACAATGAAAAATCTGTTTTCCTCTAGAAGGACATCGAGATGGTAGTCGTTGACTCCGTAATCCTGGTACCCGCGTAATGACAGGCTATCAGTGCAGATATCACTATAGTCATTATCTCTATACTCTACTATAAACAGCTGTGGCCGAAGAGACTTGTGGTTTTCATCTAGTTCCTTGGGAAAGCCAAGGAGGACTAGATGTTGGTCTAGAGGGGCAATGCCACTGATGTAGAACTCCGTTTGGAATGTAGACACTGAAAAAATACAATAAAAAGTGATATCAATGATAAATATCAAAAATATGCCCTATCGAATTTTTTCATAATTTTCACTATACACTGTTTACCCGAAAAATAAGGTGAATTTTATTTTTCTCAAAAAATATTTATTTATTCATCAATTTCTGTGTCGCCCCTTCAAAGTTGCCCCCTCAGATAAAATCTTCGAAGCAGTTCTTATATGCACTTTTAGGTACGTCCTTGAGATCTCTTAGCGATTGGGTTTCATCTCCTCAATTGTTGCTAAAACCCATTTTTTTTATGGATCTCTTCAATCTTGGGAACAGGAAAAAGTCGCAGAGGGACAAACCTGGTGAATACGGTGACTGGCATGATTACAATGTTGTTTTTGGAAAAAAATTACGAACAAACAATGACGAATAAGCAGGTGCATTATCGTGATGCAGAAGATAATACTCCTTATTGACCATACGACCATGAGGCAAGAACTCCTGTTGCACTACGCCGAAAAAATTGCATGGCATGAGCCAAACAATATGCTGTCATCCTCAAAGATTTCTTTAATAGTGATTCGATGACTCTCTATTACAATTTTCTTCACTTTTTCACTTTTCGTCATTCACAGCTTCTCAACCGTCTGTGAAAAGTTTGTACCACTTGTGAACATTTTTATGACTCTAAGTAAAATCTCTGTATGCCACTGTCAACATTTTAAGAGTTTTTGTACACACAATTCCATTTTTTACACAAAATTTGATGCAAATTCTTTGATCCCCTATTTTTTCGATAACAGAATACACAAAACACCAACATTTTTGCCTCTCAAAAACAAACAACCTGCTAAACAGCTGAAACTGTGAACATATGTTCGAGACAAATTTACCAACATAAAAAAATCCCAAATCGAATGTATGTAGCCCGCGAAATTTGAACATTCACCTTGTTTTTTAAACAGACCACGTTAAATCCATTATCTGAAAATTCCGTCACTTTTAATAAGAATAAGGGATTTCATTACCTGGATCTACTAGAAATTCTGGCAAATCCTTATTGGCCAGTTCCGTATTGCTTCTTTTTCTGATAACACACACTCTCACTGTATCCACCCAGCCAATCAGAAGTGTCCTGCTATCTGCCCACCTGAGGTTACACCTAAATTTATCTATAGATATCCTGAAAACATCCCTTTTTAAAGATTTTTCCAAACACGGCACTATATTCTTACCCTGGATGATCCTCCCACTTGATGAGACCCAAAGAACACCTTGCCGTCATGTCGTACACTCTGACTCCGATGTTGCTGCTCCAAGCTAAAAAATTTTCCCCCCAACTCATACTTTTAACGGAACCCTCGCTTTCGCATAGAACCGTCTGTCGCAGATTGCCCAAGAAGGAACGTTCATACAGAGTGAGTCGATCTTCCCCTAGAAAGATAATTGGTCAACAATTTTCTGCAGCTGAGACGAAAACATTTTACCTGTGATGAATCTTTTGTTGGAGCCATGCTTGAAATAGTAGGGATCCAGAGCTACGCTTTTCACAAGCCTGCCGAGGTTCAAATATAGATTATTTTCTTTAGAGAAGAGACTGTGTACGAACACTCTACCGTCGTCAGAACATGTTGCAAGGAATTCGCCATTAGAATCAACGGAAATTTTGTTAACTCCCACTGTGTGAGCTTTCAAGTCTTTTCCTTTTATGCTGTTGCCCTGATGATCCAAAATGTAGATGACTCCCAGATCGGAACCAAGACATATGAACTGAAAAATAACAGACTTCATTCATTACATGATACGTGGAAAACCAAATTATTTAATTTATTCATTTATGGCATTGCCTAGTTTTACAAAATACACATATATGTACTATAACTATAAGCTAGATGTCAAGAAAAAATACAAAAAAATTAATTGATGGATGTAGCTGTGGCATGAGATCATCATGAAAAACAAGAATTAAAACTTCCTATGTATGGTTTAATGCGCCTCAATGGAAGCAAAAACCATTAATATAAGGAGAGAGAACTTACTAAGTTTTTTACCACTTTTATTGGTAACTAACGTTACAGCAGTTTCGTCCCACAATAAGTTTATTGTATTTGTTTGAATATAAACTTATTGTATTCATTTGAGAATATCCTTGTAGGAAGAAACTGCAGTAAAGTTACTTATAAATACAAGTGGTATAAAAACATAGGAATTTTCAATTCTCATTGACCACTATTTCATAAAAGAATAAAAATTCAATCATTAGTTTCAAAAGTTTTGTCCATTTTTATGAGTCTACTTTAAACTGCAATATCTCACTGTGACACAAGTGACATTTGAATCAATGCACTTTTGCTAGCGTAACACTAGTCAAATAATTCCATAAGCATTAAAAGTGAGTGATCGGGATTCGAAGAAGTCGACGAAGGACGTTTTTGCCTGGTCCTGATTGGCGAAGGTTCTACCAGTGAGAAAGTTATCGAAGTGATTGAAAAGATGGTAGCCGATTATCCATCATTAGCAAAGCTTGTTATGGTAGCACCATATCATAATTTTCATCAAATTTAAACATTTTCTATGTGAAAAATAAAGAACCTGACACAATAAAAAATATAAGTATGAACATCTGAAGCTTTCCCATTTCCTCATATTGTACAGAGTGGATACATTTCAAGTGAACACAGCACCCATTGGTTAGAGAAAGAGTCTTACTTTTGGATGAACTGCGATACATTTTGCACAAGATGTCAACAGGATACTCTGTAAATCATTTGACAGCCTAACATATTTTAATTTGGGTTCTATTTCATCTTCTGAGCTCTCAGTATCACTAGTATAGTCCTGAAAATACATTCAAAATAACCCTGATCTCAAATGCAACATGATAGATTTTTCTTAATTTTGTCACTCACATTCAAATTATTTTCAGACATTTTTTTGTTCATACGAATTCATGTGAGATATCATTTTCCAAACAAAAATAATATTTATTGATGATTCATATTTTGACAATTTTAGTACATAAAAGCATGGGAGACTCTACAGAGTTGCCACATCTCAATTTTTGGTCGCGTTCGATTAACCATATAAGATAGGTAGATAGATACATAATTTTATTAATCTCCATAAATAATTTACATGACATGAGATGAGTCCGATGGTAGTCATAAAGATAAGATCTGTTTAAAAAATACTATTTAAAATCTGTTTTTCCGTTAACCAGCTGTCGCACCCCTACGAACGACCACCCCCAGAAGTCGAAACTTGGGCGAGCTAAGGACTAACAAGGTCTTACCTTTCAACGTGTGATTCCTAACACGGGTTGGACGATATCAAGTGAAAATCGATCGTTCAAGATTCATGTGACAGTCATCAAAATGATGGTTTGTCTTTGAAAGAAATATTCAATAGACTGAAAAACGATATATCAAAAGATAATTCATTTGGTAACCGTCCAAGGGGTGGTTTATACTTGAATGAAATCTTCAAAAAATCCGTTTATACCTTTAAAAATGTATAATGTTTAGCCGATATGAACACTTTAATTAGAACAGAATACGGGGTGATTTATATTTGAATGAAAGTTTCAAAAAAACTATATACCCTTGAAAATGTTTAGCCATATTTTGGTATAGACAGCAATAATTAATTCATTAAACTGTCCATACAGAATATAAACCTGGCTAAATATTTTTAAGGATATAAATGAGTTTTTGAACATTTTGTTCCAATATAAACCACCCCTTAGCACAGCTCCCAAAAGAATTATCTCTTGCTATATTATTCTTCGGTCCATTCCAGTGTTTCTCAAACTTTTCGAATTCACGGCTTCCTTATGTTTTTTGAAGGTCATCGCGGCGCCCCGAACGTAAAGACTAAACTAGATATTTAATTAATAAAAGTAGGTAGGTGGCTGTCTGAACGGATTGCATTTTGCAATTACCGATATCATACTATCAGAGGATTTTTATTAATAGGTACCGACGTATTACCTTTACTCTCAGTTATCTATGTTGTAAAACGTTGTACCTTGAGACCCACCGGTGGCCCACGGCGCCCCAGTAAAAGTTTCACGGCGCCGCGGCGCACACTTTGAGTAACACTTGTCAATTCCAAGTGTCCATACCGAATATGAACCTAGCTAAACATTTTTAAGGATATAAATTCAATTGTTTAAAATTTCCTTCAGTGATAAATCACTCCTCCAAATCAATTATCTCTTGGCATATTGTTCTTCGGTCTATTCCACAGACTAGTAATCTCATCAAATGTAAAAATTTGCCATAACTTTCACATTCTTTTCTGCTACAAACGCTATACTCCATTGAATAACACAAAAACAATTGTTTGATAGAATTCACAAAAGATCCAAAATAATTTAAATTTTTCAAAATAATTTGACAACTTCCTGAGGACGATCGAATTTTTATTTCAGAAATGGTGATGCAGAAAACAGAAATGAAGAAGGTGGCAGGATAATATATGAATTGGATGAAATCGATGATTGGGACGAGGAAGATCCCGACGATGACTTAGATATTTAGTGAGAAGATACATAACGTACCTTCAGTATATAAGTAACTAATGTGTTCAACTTTATCTGAGCTATGGATATAGCCAATACGCAATTATTAATTGATTCTGTGAGGAAAATTTCTGTTGGGACTTGATTTTAATACTTGATAATTTTAATTTTGTAATGAAAAAGCGTGTTGAAAATATAAACCATTTGAAAGTTTGAAATATGATAACTCATTTTCCCCAAGTGAGAAAATTTAATTGAAATAAGCGCCATTTGAATCAGTGCACTTTTGTCACCATAACACAAGTCGATTAATTTGGTGCTCATGATTCGATGAAGTAGACGAAGGCCGTTTTTGCCTGGTCCTGATTGGCCAAGTGCTTGATTAGATGGTAGTCGGTTGGCGAGAGATTTAAAGAGTATGGTGGGTGATGCAGAACTTCCACGCTCAATTCGTTTAATTTTCGGACAGTGATTTGTGAAACGTGCGGACGGGCGTTGTCGTAGAGCAGGATCGGACCACTTCTGTTGACGAATTGGGATGTTCTAGAATGTCAAGACTATTCCCGAGCATTCAAGATTGTTGCTGGATGTTCTGGACTGTTATAGAACTTTTTAGAGGGCGAAATTTTCGGCCATTATATCTTCAAATCACGCCCTTCATCGCCAAGCAACATCATTTGTACCAGAACGTACAATAAGGTCTATGCTCTGTAATACAAAGGATCAGATACCATTGGAGTCCCAAGGAGTTTAAAAATTACCATGTCAAGACTTACATCGGCCAGACCAACAGGCGAATCAACAAACGCAAGGATGAACACAAATCATCAGTGAAGGCAAAAAATCACCACGTCTTCTCTCTTCCAACACATATTGGCGACAACAATTGGCGAAAAAACTAAAATACTAGCAAACAATGAAACCTTCTACTTTCAAACAATTAGAGAGGCTATCGAAATTGCAGTTGTGCAATACATGGAAAGTACCTTTTCAGTTCATCAGAGAGCTGCGTAAGATGAAAAACAAGTTCAGTTTTCATTTTGGCATCCAATGATGAAGTGTTGGTCACCAAAAAGTCATGACGTTAGATCTAGGCAAGTTTTCCAAAACTCAATTGCTTTTCAAAATTGCGCTTATTTTGTATTGCATAGTGAACACGGTGCATGTGGAACCTTGTATAGGAGAATTAGTTTTATTGAGAACTCGTTTTCTACCAGATTCATATTTGAAAAGTTTTCCGTTTAAAATCACTTGATAACGTTGAGTCGGCGACGAAAGAATTCCGGGACTAGTTTTAACTACGGAAAAAAAAGCAGTGAACGCCATAAATGAAGAAATCCCGCTGCCCACACTACGGTTTTTAAGAGGGAAAATTTCGCCGATCATAGCCCATGGGAGCGGCACGAATCCCACGGTGATGAAGGCCATATAGGCAACCAGCGAGATCATGGGAACGTACGAGGCAGATTTCAGCTGGGGGTAGCTCTTCGCTAGAAAAGAATAGGCGCCGATCGAGAGGAGCGACACGGAAGTACCGACGCCACTGACTAGAGCCAGCGGCCGCCTGCCAATCTTCCTGAGAAGAACGCACGCCACCAAGGACATCAGAACCCTAATCGTATCAACTATCAACATCGCTAGATACTCGTTAACGCCTTCCCCGATGGTTTCTTTCATGATCGACACCGTGTAGAACGTCAAAGCATTGATGCCGGCCCACTGGTTCGAAACGATGTAGAAGACGATTATACCGAGGGGTTTCAAGAATTCCGGAACGAGCAATTCCCGCAGTTTTTCCGGCAAAGTCTTTTTGTCTCCGGCCGGAGTCTGTTCTTGTCTCTCCAACATAACCGCGAGCTCTCTCTTGGCCTCTTCGGAATAGCCTCTGCACCAGTAGAAGGATTGCTGTGCTCTTTTTGGTTGTCCTTTCTTGGCCAGCCAGGAGGGAGACTCGGGAACGAACAGGATTATGATTTGGCTCAAGACTGGTAGAGAGGCGCATATCAAGGCGGTTGTCCTCCAGGAGAAAAAGGTTCCCAAGAGATGAGAGAGAAACAGGCCTGAAAAAGAAATTACTTGTTTATATTATGTATTTCTCAAGTAACTATCGCTTTTCACAAATTGCAATATAACCTGCAAGATAGCACGATGGCCATTTTGTGATCAATGAGGGAGAATTTCAAGTCATTCGTAGGATATCGGTGGATGTTCCTATAGTTTTATGGGAAAATGTTATCATTTTCCATGTTTCCAACAAGTATGCGTGTATGCAAAATTTCAGCTCAAGCTGTTTGTAAAAATTCAACAATTTTGTTGCCACACGCTTCATGCTCAAAATTTCCAAAAAAATTGCATGGTATGAGCTAACCGATATGCCAACATGCTCTGCAACTTCGCTAATAGTGATTCGAGGATTCTCCATAACAATTTTCTTCACTTTCTTAACATTTTCTTCGGTTGTTGATGTGCTAAGGCGAGCGTCGTCATTCACATCTTCTTGACCTTCTGTGTAAAAGTGTAAAGCTTGTACCACTTGTAAACATTTTTTCCGACTCGAGAGTACAAATTCTTTGATCCACTTTTTGTCGATAGCAGAAAATCATCGAATACGTAAAAGTCTTCTAACTTTTATACCTCTCACCAACAAATTAAACATGCTAACCAGCTGAAACCATGAACATATGTTCGAGACGAGTGTAACACTATAAAACAATAAAAAAATCGCTAATCGTATGTACGAAATTTCAAAATAAACCAACTTTTTTTTAACATTCCACCTATGAGGAAGAAGAGGAAGGTTCTGCGGAAATCATTAACCAAAACTAAGTGAAAAAACCTACCTAGGGCTACGGAAAAGGAGATCCCCGCCAAGAGGAACCCCCTGTACGATGGCTGCGAGGTCTCCCCTATGTAGACTCCGGTGGCGGGTCCTAGCATGCCGAGACACGCCCCGGTCACGAACCGTCCTGCCAGGATCATGTTTTTGTCGGAGGCAAAGGCGATCAGCAACCACCCGATCAGAAAGGGCAGGCAGGAAAGCGAGTGGGTCGCTTTTCTGCCGAACTGCTCGATGAAGACGCCTCCCAGGACCGATCCGGCTGCCATCGGGAGAGCGGCCATAGAAGCTGGAAAAATTCAAGAATGAACGAAAATTCAAAAACTGAAACACATAATTTTGAGCTTATTGTGAAATTTCACAACTTCTCGTTTGAAGAGTACATTAGTGAAAGTACATTCATGTGCATGTGCTTCCTTGAAATATTAACAAATTTTCATCTTAAATAACTTATCATTTTTTAGCCCGATTGAGGGCATGGTCATCTCACGTGTAGGTGATGTAAACTGGCTATGCCATGCCATCGGCCAAATTCTGCCTGGAAAATTGGACGTTTTGGATGCGCTCCACTCAGAGAAGCCGTGACGGACATTTGAACGATGTTATATTCCACACATAACGGCATCAGTAGGTCTTTGAAACGAATGAAAAATGTCGATGTTATCTCACACACACTTTGTTTTATTTGAATTTGAAGATAGGAAGGAAGCGCCTAATGGAAGACCCTATAAACGAAAGTGGTGAAATTTCAAGATACATGAAACACTGTCATCCTCACTGGTGAACATCCGATGTTTCAGCACAAAACACTTGCCTTACCGCCCCTTCAGCACCAAATCTGGATAACCCTTATAGAAGCCAAAACTTTTCCTGAAAACTAATTCATTGGCTATTTCAAGTTATCTTTATGGTGGTGACAACATGTATTTGCAATATCAATACAATGAATAAGGTGAAAAAAAACTAAAAAACATGTTTTTAAAGAACATCGAACTAAAAAGTTAAAAATATTTTTTTAAAATAAACATGATTTTCTTTTGAAAAACCTATCAAGAAGGTTACGTATAGCGGCATCTGCCCGTGAATAGCTCAAGCAATAATTGATAGTTACGTACAGCGCCATCTGCCCGCGAATAGATCAAGAAATATCAATGAGGTTACGTACAGCGCCATCTGCCCGCGAGTAGATCAAGCAATAATGCCGAAAATTCTGTCAATACAGATCCCAAGCTTGAGAGTTACAAACATACATACATACAGGTGAAGCTAATATAAAGCGTGTAAAAAAGGATTTTCATTTACATTCCTGTATGTCAGAAGTATGCGACCAATTATAGCTACTCTCGCGTAGAACGAATCCAAAAGAAAGACCAACGTGAGTTTCACCAACTTGATTGGTGCGATTCTTTGTGTAGGTATTTGAATCTCTAATTAATACAATTGTGACTTTTTGCTTACCAATCCAAGATGCATCTTCTTCGTTTATGATCAAAGTACCATTTTTATCTGCATGTAGCTGAGGAAGCAAAATAGCTGAGTAGCCAACCGTCATTCCTGAACATACTGTTAGTAGAAGTGGTGCTAAAGCAACCAAAGTCTGAAAAATAAGTAAATTGGGTAAATGGTTTGTTAGAATCATAAAAGTAAAGCAAGGCAGAACTGCCGGGGAAAAAACTTTTTGCAAAAGTCTTGAATCACACTAAGTTTGTAAACTTTATGTGTTTCTAGATGAAACTATCTTAACTGTAATTGTTTATTTATTTTCGGTCTTACCTGCTTCACCAGTGATGATACATATTCTTGTTTTTCGGTTGATTCTTGTTTGTTTAATTTTTCATCTCTGTGGGCGTTGATCCGAAATATTCGTGAACAATTTCTGGAAAATTCATCGAGAGACCTGAAAAATAATTCGTTTATAGCAATCGCACGGTAGAAGGCAATACCTCGTTTCCTCGTTAATCCTTAGCTCTAGTTGAATAATAAAGCTAGAGAGGAACGTCACAACTTCCAGTCACCCAATGATACTCTTTGTGAATAAGTGTTTTTCAGGTCAAACTTTTTTCTCCGCCTTCGAAAAATATGAACGAGGTGTCATTCGATTCGAAATAGCGTGTAAATGATTTTAAAAAATCAAGTACGTACTGCTTATAAAAATTGAAGAAGCTATAAACTATTAACTGAAAAAAATTGGGGTTTGGTTTTTTGCAAATATGTATCTCAAAAACTATTTGATATTTTTCAAATTTGAAAAACGATTCAAATAGAGGAGGAAATTTACCAAAAAGTTCTAACTCCCGGAACTGTATACTTATAATTTTCCCAGAGGAGTGAAAATAGATCTTAAAACGGGTACTCTGGCTTGCACAAGTTTACACTAGAATATTCTTTAAAGATATATTACGCATTGCATAACTGGGCCGAGTGTACATTACTTATTACATGTCTTTTTCATGATTATAACAATCGATTTGAAATTGAGTGCTAAAATAGGAACAGAGAAAGCGAATGTTATTTGCAAGAAAAACTTTCATTCAAGCGTGCAATGATTGCAATCTGATATCACTTTATGATATCAATATACCAATGAAGGTCACTCCAATTGCTGTCTGTTGAAGTGAGTTACGCTTTCCATGTTCTGAAGGTATCAAAACCAATATTTCTAACTTATTAACTCTTCAGCTATGATTTGGATTTGTATTTGATTTTTTGTCATTTGACTCGACTATTTTAGCAGTGCTAAAGATGGGATAGCCGAAGAAATTTGAAAAAAATATTTTCATTACTTACAGTTTCATTTCTGATAAAACTAAAACTTGTCACCAGGGTTTTTAAACCGTAATGTTCTGAGGAAAGCAATGTCTTACGCTTTCAATGTCGGTATTACATCAAGACTTTCACGTCGCTCTTCCAAGATCAAGGCACTAATTCTTGTTTTTCTCCCGCTACAAGTAACGGGATTGGTTAGGTTGAATTCTTGCTGGTTGTAATTTGCATATACCTACTTACCACATACAGGATGTTTCAGGAATCGTCCTCCGTTGAGATTGTTGCGAAATCATCAATTGAATTGTTTGTTTCACTAACTGTGTCCATTGTTCTATGAAAGTTATTATTGTTGATTGACATAGATTTTTAGAAATGCGGAAAAGGTTTAGGATTACGAAACAAGTGATTATTGTGAAAAAAGCGACGGGCGCTTGATATATAAAAATATGGCACAAATTGCTCACGCTTTTTTCACAATAATACTGGTATTTTTCGTTCGTTGTTCTTTGAAAGTTTTTTAAACTATATTTATCAGCCGTATATTGTTTAGAAAAATTACCATTGATATTTTCGTACAGTGCCATCTGCCTGCGAATAGATCAAACAATAATGTCGGTAATTCTGTCAAATACAGATCCCAAGCTTGAGAATTACAAACATACATACATACAGGGGTTAGTCCATATACAAAGATGCAGGTGAAGCTAATATAAAGCGTATAACAACAATAAAAAGAGATGAGTGAAATGTCCGGAGGTCATTAAAAAAATCGTTATCGTTCGAATATCATCTGGAGGTGCACCGTCTTGTTGAAAAAATGCTCTTTGGCGATCAGCTAAGTTGAGATTATCAAAAAACTCTCCAAATATGTTTCTAAGAAACTTCAGACACCGCCCACCTGTTAAAGGATTACAATGAATATTTCGCATAAGGTTGTCATTACTCCAGTAATGATGATTTTTTCTTTTATATGGGAGAGTGTGTATAAAAGAGCCAGTTTTGAAAAACATTAAAAAAAGTTAACGTCAGGTGACGGTTATTGAATAAAATTGCTTTTTGTAATTAGTTTAATAAAATGAGATACCATGACAGAAGAAATTAGTAATTATTGTAACCTAAAGAAAAAAATGGAAATCGGCTCTTTCAAAGCAACTTATGTATGAAAGAGCTGTGCATGTGTTATGAAAGAGCCGGGTTCCTTTTTACAAAAAAACCTGTCTTTCAGCAAATAAAAATCACTTAATAAACTATTTATCTGTTAAATCTTATCAAACTGTAAAATTGCTCATTTCTGTGAAAATCAGTTATTTATCAGTCTTAAATCACAATCCACTCTTTCATAACTATTCAATATCTTGATTTGAAAGACCCGTAAACCGCAACATCCCAGAGGTTGGGGTCTGTGGCTACAATGAGGTGGAAAATCAGCAGAAGTAACGGTCCAATTTGTTTTGAGCCTTTTCCAGCGATGATTTTAGGAGGAGCTGAAACAGCGCTGCATCCTGGAGCCGGCTCTTTCAAAGCCTCCACAAGTGTCTCTTTCAAAACATTTTATGTAACCTCAAAATACAGCTATTTCGCGTAAACATTATAACATTAATATTATCGTAAAATAATGCTAAATATACGCAACAATACAACATATCATTTTTATCAACTCATACTGCACTTTTCTTTGAAAAACAAATTGAGTGAACGCAAAAAAATTACATTTTGGTCCTAAAATCTTTGATGTGGTTTACGTTTTCACAGAATTGTTAAATGTTTGTGGATGTCAGCTATTCAGTGCTGCCACAGTATTTCTGTATACAAAATACTGTGGTGTTGCCATACAAACATTAAAATCAAATTATGGTAAGATTTGGGTAAGTGGTAGAAAATCACATCGGCTATTACAAAGCCTGGCTCTTTCATACACACTCTCCCCTACATGTCCAGATTGGTAAAGTTAGATTCGTTGCCTTCTAGAATCTGTCTTAGAAAATCAAGATTAGCGTTTTCAGCATTCACAAATCATCGGCAAAATGTCAATCGTCTTTATTGGTTATAGGTACTAAGTAGGTCTGTGTTTATATGGCACCAACTTATATTTTTCCAAAATTTTCTAAATAGTTCCGAAACATTGTTCAGTGACTCTCACGTAATCTCCTATGTAATTTTCACGATTTGCTTCAAAATAATCCAGCACACTTATTTCTATTTCTTCGTCCACGACAAATGTTTGATTTACGTTTGGCAAAAATCTCCTTCTGACGTATTGAAGAAGAACACTTCAATGTGAGATTTCCACTTGGCAGTTCACAAAACCGCTATACAATAACATCTTCAGGCGTCACAATACAAAGTATGTTCAAAAAAATAGTGTAAATGTTCAAATTTCGCGGGCTACGTACATTAGATTATTATCGATTTTTTCATGTTGGTACACTCGCCTCGAACATATGTTCACAGTTTCAGCTGTTCAGCATGTTTAGCTCATAAGTGAGAGACATAAGTTGGAAATATTTTATGGCAATTTTATGCTATCGTACTTATAAAAATTGAATTGATTACTCATAAATACTTAAAAAGTTAATAGTGGCATACAGTGAATGTACTCTGAGTCAGAAAAATAATTACAAGTGGTACACGCTTTTTGCAAAAGGTCGAGAAGATGTGAATGACGACGCTCGCCCTGGACGCCTCATCACGTCAACAACCGATGAAAATGTTGAGAAAGTGAAAAAAATTATTATGGAGAATCGTCGAATGACTATAAGAGAAGTTGCTGAGGATGTCAGCATATTGGTTGGCCCATGTTATAGAATTTTTTAGCAAATTTTAGGCATAAAGCGTGTAGCGTAACTTCCCTACCGCTCGTGATTTCATAATGTAATATGTTTTCGTTTTTAGTTTGTCCTCGTTTGTCATTTATACTCACTGTATCATGTTTGTTTACATATTTTCGTTATCGACGTTAACCTATTTTTCATTTCATTCCGGTGTAAATGCTAGGGATTAGGGATCTGTATTGACAGAATTATCAACATAGTTTGGCTTGGCCTATTCGCGCGGAGATGGCGCTGTCAGTAGCTTTCTCGGTATAATTAGAACTCGTTTTTCTTACACATTTCTTTATTTGAAAAAGTATTGTGGTAAAAAGTTTAGGAACGTTGGATCCATCTGCAAGTGGACTCGTTCTAGTTGATTTCATGTATTGGAACTGCAAATAAGTTTTTCTGGAACCTTAGCGGTATTTGGAAAGGGAATTAATTTGAACTTTTCTGCCTGGTCTAGGTATGTAATATATCGAGCTAAACTTTAGGCATATTATTTATATTCATGATTTTATTTTATAGAAACTTAGTCGTATTTTCAACGCAATCTGTCATACAACCGATCAACTGGGAGTAAAACCTTTTTAACCCGAATTATTCTGCTTGGTGTACGAACTTATTTTTCCCACCCCACTTCAAGCGTGTGGCCACGAAGTTCGTTCCAAAATTGCTGAATTTTGACCTCAAAAACCATCGCATGAGCATCGCTCAGAAATTGTTGAATGATGTCAACGGCGATCCAGATTTGCTCAAAATGGTAATGACTGGTGACGAATCATGGGTATATGGTTATGATATCGAAACCAAAGAGCAATCGTCCCAATGGAAAAGCCCTGGAGAGCCAAGAGAAAAAGGGCACGCCAAATTTGATCAAACATCAAGTTTTTGCTCATTGTTTTCTTCGATTACCGTGACATAGTGCATCAGGTGTTCTTGCCACATGGTTGTACGGTCAATAAGGAGTAGTATTATGTTCCGCGTGCAAGAAGCAATACGAAACAAGTATTTTTATAAACACTGTATAATAAAGATGAAGAAGTAGAGAGTCAAAACCGTTATTCCTGAAAAATTGAAAAATCAATTATTCATTTTCAACTAAACGATGTTAAAATTAGCAGATCTTTTTTTCTAAAATTATATTTTATTCACTAAGGATAAGTACCATCACAATGAACATTTTGATAAACATACCTCATATTTACATGAATATCTTATTAAACTCCTAGTGGCGAAGTATGATAAGGTGTCTGCGAATTTGTGGATAGTTTTGTAGAGTTGCATCATTCTGAAATGGAAAAATGTTTGAAGTCATATTGAGGAATCACAATAGACGATCGGAATAACCTGCAGTTTTGGGTCGACGAAATAATTAGCGTACGTCATCAGTTTGTGAAATCGAACGATTTGTTTTGGAACAATCTCACTTTCCTGACCAAAGGAAACCAGCAAAGCTTTATCTACTTCTTAAATGGGGCAACTCTGTGTGTATTGAAAACTCGACAATCTCTATTTTATGTAACTTCGCGAAGGGCTGCGAGATGACTGTGTATGACTAATTACTTCCACAAGTCAAACCATGTATTTCAGTTAACCAACACGAATTTTTACGGAAGAGATCCAAGATCTTCCAATAATCAAACAACTATCAGGTGTCGTGGATTTCAAAGGTAAGGAAAACATATTTGGGTTGTTCATAAAATAAGGTGGATGTTCAAATTTCCCGGGCTACGTACATTCGGTTAGCGATTTCTTTTGAATTTGAATTTTGAATTTGAATTTTAATTTTTCTAAAAACATATTTATAAACTCATCAATTTCTATTTTGTCCCGTTCAAAGTAGTCCCCCTTAGGTATAATACACCTGTATCAGCAGATTTCTTTCCAATTCCCGAAGCAGTTCTGATATGCAGTATTTGGAATGTCTTTGAGCTCTCTCAGCGGTTCGATGTTTATCTCCTTTATCGCCGCAAATGCCGTCCTTTCATGGGTCGCTTCAATCTTGGGAACACGAAAAAGATGCAGGAAGATGGGCAAATCTGGTAAATACGGTGGCTGAGGCATGATTACGGTATTGTTTCTGGACAAAATTTATGAACGAGCAATGGCGAGTGAGCAGATGCATTAGGCATTCACAACCGCAGTCACAAAAATCCAGGCTAGTACCCGGTGATCCCGGTATCCGGCCGTGGTCGAATAGAGCCTTGAGTACCAGTTTCGTCTGCTACTGCGTCAGACAGTTTCAGCAACGACTGACTTGTTTTCATTGCTGAATTGCTTTTATGTTCCACATTCACTATGTAGCGAAAGTACTATGTTACGATGTTAGGTAGATTTTAGAAAGTTCGTCAGCACTTTATTAATTATGTTATGAAAAAGAAAATGAATATTTTTTCCGATTCCATTTTTCCAGCATGCGAAACATTAGACAGAACCGGTCAAAACGTACTTAGTGTGAAATATGAACTGTTTAGTTGTGAAAACTTTTGTGTAGTATATAATAACTGGGACTTTTCAATGAATAACATTGAAACAATTAGAGCTGACAAACGGTTTGAAAATTGAAAGAAATCAACAACTGACGTTTGTTCGGCTATCATTCTTCGATTTAATGAGTGCTAGGAGTGTTGCTGCACTGAGAAAATTTGGATGAAATGTATCAGATTTCATATAAGAAGTACCTACCACGTCTACATTATCAAGAATAATAGGAGTAAATTTCATTGAATCCAGAAAGATAATTCAGAAAATGTATGTTTTCATTCTTGGTTGAAGCAATCCATCAGACATTTTTTGTTGAATTCGAGAACTCGTCAGAAATGCCCAAAATTTCACATTTGGGGTGAATTTTCGAAAGGAGTACCAATGTTCTTTCCACACCTTTTCACATCTGTACACCTGTACCACACATGTGGTACGATATTTGTACCACTGCGGCAACACTGAGCACTAAATGCAATGTATTATCCAAATAAGAGCTGTTTAGTCTTCGTTTTTCATTTGTAGAAGGAAAGGATGTATGTATTGAATCGCTAATGTTTACTGAACGCATGTGCATTCTTCAATCGTCCCGATTTTACTCACCTCGGTTTGTTCCCCGTCAATATGGCAACAAGATCTATGAGGAATCCGGGCAGAGTATGACAAAAAAATCGCAAAATCCAATACCAATAAAGATCAGGCGTGAATATGACGAATGCTTCCCACAGAGAGTTCAAGACGGGGAATTTTTCACCTTGGATGATGTTCAGCTCTATGAATTCCCTCCACGTTATCGGATTTTCTGCCGAAGAAACATAGTTGTACACCAGCAGTTGATTGGACGTTCTGAAAAATTCAAGTGTCAACGCCATGCGTACGGAAAAGTCTGAGGTACTCACTTTGTTTCGGGGTTTTTCGAAGAAACGTCCCAAGCGGCAGAGATAAGTCCCGCCACGCAACTGTCAACCGGCACCACGTCTGAGGTTCTTTCTCTGGCGCAGGGCATAACCCTAAGTACTCCTGAAATTGCACCTGCTGCAACTCCCGTTGGGCCGTACAAGTTGTCGATCCAACCTTCCAAGGGTTCTTTGTAGGTTGATATCACTGAAAATTACCAAAATGCTTCATATCTTTCAATTTAAATAAAACAAAGTGTGCGTGACATATCATCGACATTTAAAAATAACTACCATTTCCAAATATACCCAAATATTTTTATTTTACATACCGATAGATGGTCTGAATATTCCTATTGGTAACCCACCACCAATGTCTTTGATTAGCGATTCTGCCAAGAATTTGGTAAAGGTATAAGTGTTGGGCCATGCACCAAGTATTCTGAAAATAAATTTTAGAAATGTTCATTGTGCGTATATACATTAACTATATTCTTTTATATTGATTGAAGTTTCTTACCGTGGGGTTAATAATTCGGCCTCGCTTTTATTTAATTTTTCTAACACAGCTTTGACATCTTCGTAACGAATCACGTGGTCGTATACTTTTTCATCTATCTCGCTCCGAGGACAGTTGGCATATGCGGTGGATACATATATGAGAGACTGAAAGAAACGCCCCTTAGTTCAGCCATTCTCAACCCTACAGAGATATTTTCTCGAAATATTATAGTTACATTTTTGATATTCTCACCTTTAAATTCATCATTTGTCTAGCGAAATCTACAACTTCCTTGGTTCCGTTCACGTTTATTGTGTAGGCAAGATTCAAACTTTCATCGAACTTCACCGTCGCCGCCACGTGAAAAACTATATCAATTTTAGAAATCAGCGTCTGTCTGTCTGTCATGCAGATCCCCAAACCCGACATCGAACAGTCTCCTGGAATGGCTTCAATTCTGTGCTTGAATTTTGGACATTCTCTTTTGAGAGTGTCAAAAACCTGAAAAGTTGTAATCGAAGTTTTTACATTGATACATAAATAAAAATGTAGTCATCTATGTTTTATATAACTTCATCCAGCAAAAATTAACTTTATCCCTATTTTCAAAAATAAAGACCACCTTGAATCTTTAGTTCGATGTTCTTTAAAAGCGCGTTTTTTAGTTTTTTAAACTATATTTATTTTTAACTTTTTAGTTCGATGTTCTTTAAAAGCGCGTTTTTCAGTTTTTTGAACTATATTTAATATTTTGATTTTCTTTTGAACAACCTATCAAGGAGGTTACGTATAGCGCCATCTACCCGCGAATAGATCAAGAAATATTAAGTAGGTTACGTACAGCGCCATCTGCTCGCGAATAGATCAAGAAATATCAAATAAGTTACATACAGCGCCATCTACTCTCGAATAGATCAAGCACTAATGCCGATAATTATGTCAATACAGATCCCGAGCTTGAGAGTTTCAAGCAAACATGCATACAAACAATCATACATACATACATATAGGTGAAGCTAATATAAAGCGTGTAAAAAATATAGAGAAAATAAACGAACAATTTACTTTTCAAGTGATGCGATGAAGAGAGTGAAGTTTCAAATAAGTTTTTCATATATTAACTGAACCTTCTCAAAACAAAAATTGACATGTTCTTCGAATTTTTTATTTTTTTGTTCATTTCTGAGTTTCAAGAGGGCTCAACTTCACCCGAATGAACATTTCTTTGAGTTATCGATTTTCAGTTGTACATAGTCTTATGTTTTCTTCATTGAAATTTCGCGAAGAATGAAGCACCATATGACATGAGGAACATAAATATTTTGAACCTTCGAAAGTATTCCAATCCAGATAAACTCCTCTAGTAAATGAAGAACATGACAATAAAAAGACACGAACCGTAATTTTCTGTACAGATTCACCTCTGTAATACTTCTATCGAAATAATAGTTGAATGAACTTAGCATTGGGTTGAAAAAAGTACAGAATGATTATTAGAAACAGATAATTGTAATGAAAACTACCAGGCGGAAATTCTTTGGTACTTTGTTTTTCAGAAAATACTTACTACATCATCGAAGATTTCGTCAATTCTTGTATGGATATTTTTCCCTTTCTTTTCTCTAATCAAAAGATACAACGTCGACACTTCAGTTGACCTGAGCAACTTTTCTATAAGCACTTTTCCCATAAATCCTGTGCCGCCAGTGATGAAAACATTCCGGTGTTTGTAAAAGCTTTGAATTTGTGATTCTTCCATTTCGGGAACGCACCGATCTGAAATTAAAGTAATTCATTTTGAATGGGAAAACAATAAAATTTGAACTTTTTTATCTAGGAAGTGAAATAATGCTTTTCTAGTAAATAAACAGGGTGGCTCAAAGAAAGACGTCTAATGCTTTCAGATAAAATTACCCTCAAATGCATTTTTTGAGTAATGAAATGTTTTGGCTTTCTACTTCTCCATATTTACACAAAAAATTTGGGAATCTTCCAAAGAAACGAAAAAATCAATTGCGTTCAAATCAAACGCTTTACAAAGATGTGTGGATCATACAAAGAAGTAACTATATGTGTTACTTAAACGGGTCATAACTGGTGACAAATCATGGGTATATGATTTTCACATTAAAACTGAAGTCCAATCGTCACGATGGAAGAGCCCAGGAGAGCAAAGACCAAAAAAGCACTAGTTCGATCAAGCGTCAAAGTTTTCTTCACTGTTTTCTTCGATTATGGTGATATAGTGCATCGGAAGTTCTTGCCAAATGATCGTACGGTCAATGAGAAGTATCTGTTGACTAAATAGTCACAAGAAATTTTTGTTGAAACGAATAACTTTGTCTCTTCGAGATGGTGCTAATTTCTCGAGAATCGTTACGACAAACAATTAATTCAGCATATGTCATAAGTAATCCGACTGAATACGAAAAATATGCATATAAACTTGGCAAGGGACTTTTTAAGACGTCCACTTTTCTGTTTTCTAAACACGTACTTTCGTATGTGTGTCATAACGAAAAGGAACATGTCCGTCCGATATGCCTTGCCTGACGTAAGGAATTCATTGTCCAATGATTCCGTGATGAATTTTCCAAATAGTAACCTTGGATTTCTGTAGGCAGATATGCAGTTTTCGCTAGGTTTCCGTTTGAGTTCAAGGGGCGTTTTTTATTTATCGAATACGGAAAATAAGAGTACGTGTTGGAGCGTACTTGTGCGATTTTCGTAGCATATTTATTACCTATTAGTCCAATGAAATGAGGATTCAAATTACCATTCAAATTATTGAAATGAGGGTATCATTGAGAAATTTGCATCGACTCAAATATAACGTGACTGATGAAATATTTATTAAAAAGTACGATACAAAATTTACAAAAATAGATTTGAACATGAAAAAATATACTTCCATCAAATATCTATAGAGGGTCATATTGGAAAGCAAAAACATGTTTGGAATTGAGTGGAACAATAAACGGGCAAGATCAAACAACGTCATTGTGTACTAATAATAATGAGGTAATGACGATTAATCAATTGTCGCCAATTGTTTTACAGAACATTTCTGAAACAATGTGGATGTTGCAATAAAAACTCATTTCGGACACAAAATACGGAATTTCGTACAAAATGTAATTTACGCCATTTGAAGAATAAGGAATCAGTGATATAATGATAAATCTGTAAAATGCTAATTCGGTGGGAGTTGAGCGCGTACCATTACCATTGATTAGAAGCTAGCGTTTCGAATAGCTGTGTCCTAAGCAGACTACAATTGTAGGAATTGAAACTTGGAACCCTTGAAGGTCGTACTTCGAAGATTCGTTATGGAATTCAATCAGATGCCATTGATATATTGAATGGTTTATTAGTGACAGTAGTCGTTTTGAAAGGGTTTTTTCAGTTTGTACCTATCACTTCACATTAAGCGAGTATGTTATTAAAAAAACATATTTATTCAAGTTGAAATATTTTTATCATCTCATATTTCCGCTTATATTTCTGCTCTTTGTTAATTGCGGTATGGTATGCGCTGTCTGTTCAAAAAATAAGGCTAGTTTTCACTTTAGTCGGCATTAAACAGCACCAATTAGGTATTTGTAACAAGCAAAGCAACTTAAAATTTTTAAAGATGGGTCTTTCAAATAACAGTCCACATATTTACACAGATTGTTCTTGAACGTATCTTTGTGCGTTTATTGCAGGTGAATGATAATAAAAAACAAAACGTTGAACTATTTCATAAACTAATCACGATGAAAATAATAACATAGGTCGCAATACCAAAACATGACAATGAAATACATCACTGACCTATTTTACGTGTCTCAGAAGGAAATATTATGTCTTATGCAACTTTCGACTATGATCCATCTTGGAATTGTTTTCGGCTTTTTTAAATTATTTGATACATACCATAGAATGTAACTTGTGAAAATCAATTCGTACGTCTGGCGGTACTTATCAGTTTCAACAAAAATATTTTGTTTAGCTTTAGAAAAGTTGACAAAATATTTGAACAATGAATGTTTGATTTATTTAAATAATAATTTCCGTTTTCTCGAAGTTTTTGTCGAATGCTCAAGGATAAATTATTTGCTAATAAATGACTTGATGTTCAAATTATGAAATTTGATGGAGTTCCAAAACCGCAGGCCATGAATATATACGTAGGATATTCACAAAATAAGATAAATGTTCAAATTTCGCCGGCTACGTACTTTCAATAACCGATTGTTTTCTTTTTTTAAGTTGGTACACTTGTCTTGAACATATATTCACAGTTTCAACTGTTTAGCATTTTCAACATTGTTGGTGAGAGTCATAAATTTAGAAGTGTTTTGCGTGTTCAGCGATCTTCAGCTATCGAAAAAATATATCAAAGAATTTGCATCAAATATTGTTTGAAAATAGAATTGAGTGTTCAAAAACACTTGAAATCTTGACTGTAGCATTTGATGATTGTACTTTTGGACAGAAAAATGTTTACAAGTGGTACAAGCTTTTCACAGAAGATCAAGAAGATGTAAATGACGACGCTCACCCTGGACGTCCCAGCACAATAACAACCAACATATTTTATAACTTTCGCATCACGATAATGCACTTGCTCACTCGTTATTGCTTGTTTGTAATTCATTGGCCAAAAACAACACTGCCTCAGCCACCGTACTCAACAGATTTGTAACCCTGCCACTTTTTTCTGTTCCCAAGGGCACAGTTCTGATATGCACTTATTAGTATTTCTTTGAGCTATCTCAGCGATTCGGTGAAGATCATAACTACTTCCATAAGAATATTGAATTACAAGAAAGAAAAAATACTTTCGAAACAACTTATTTTATATGTACATTGAATTATTATGGAATTGAATCGAATATCATTAACAGAATTGCTTCACAATATAGTGTATGAATGAGGTAAAATTTTACCTACATTCAACACTTTCATCCTCAATGGCGGACGTCCTAAACTTTGGCATAGGACACTTGCCTCATTACCTTTTCAGCAAAGAAGTAATTTTTAGAGACGAACTGGGAAAAAGCCCTCTTGAAACAACTGTTTCGTTCATATAATGTTCATATGAAAGCAGTTGTCACGAAAGTATTTTTTTTTGTGTAATTCAATGTTTGTATGAAAGTAGCTGTTTCGAAAAGGGTTTTTTTAGCTTTTGTCTGAAAGTTACTTTTTTGAATAAACTATACATATTTGTATAGAGATTATTCTGAAATNAGCTCCATATCTCAATGAATATTTATTCTGCTGTCGTGATAGATATTGATCGATAGAGAATTTTTTACTCTACACATTGATGCTGGTCATTTTTTCCAAATTTATTTTTTTGACACTTTTCAGCTTATTACTATATTCTGCCTATATTCTCCCCATACCTCATCTTTCCAAACACTTCGATAACTTTTTCACCGGGTAGAACCTTCGCCAGTCAGGACCAGGCAAAAACGGCTTTCGTCGGCTTCATCGAATCCGGAGAACCCAATTTTTATGCTGATGGAATTAACCGAATTGTGTGTGCTACGTTGGCAAAGGTTCATTGATTCAAATGGCGCTCCTTTCGAATAAATTGAACAAGTATCTACTGAAATATTACAGTTTGAAGTGGACTCATGAAAACGGACACAATTTTAGAAACAACCTAATAAATTCCGACTTCAAACTCGGAAACTAGTGATAATTTTTTTCAAAATTATTTGTATCCCTTCCGCGCCTTCGCGCTTTGAAATGAAACATACCAATCACTTTTTCGTCTGGCCGCCTCTAAAGTTTCATCAGACTCCTTCAACAAGTATAACCGTATTCCTTTGATGTATCTCCTGAAGTAAATGAGCCAGTGCACTGTCGTCATGCTCAGAGGGAAAAGTTCTCGGTCTCTCCGGTTCATTTTATGCCACAGATTACAGGTATTCTTGTTGGAGAACTTCCAACTCCTAGTGGCGAAGTATGATAAGGTGTCTGCGAATTTGTGGATAGTTCTGTAGAGTTGCATCATTCTGAAATGGAAAAATGTTTGAAGTCATTTTGAGGAATCATAATGAACGATCGAAATAACCTGCAGTTTTGGGTCGACGAAAGAATTAGCGTACGTCATCAATTTGTGAAATCGAACGATTTTTTTGGAACAATCTCACTTTCCTGACCAAAGGAAACGAGCAAAACTTTGTCCAATTCTTAAATCGGGTAACTCTGTGTGTATTGAAAATTATCGACAATATCTATTTTATGCAACTTTGCGAAGGGCTGCGAGACTAATTACTTCAAATTATCAATCAAACCATGTATTTCAGTTAACCAACACGAATTTCTAGGGAAGAGATCCAGGATCTTCCAATAATCAAACAACTATCAGATGTCGTGGATGCCAAAGGAGAGGAAAACGTATTTGAGTTGTTCATAAAATAAAGTGAATGTTCAAATTTCCCGGGCTACGTACATTCGGCTAGCGATTTTTTGCTATTGAATAATACATCTGTACCAGCAAATTTTTTTCCAATCCTCGAAGCAGTTTTGATATGCAGTATTTGAAATGTCTTCGAGTTCTCTCAGCGATTCGGTTTTTATCTCCTTTATCGCCGCAAACGCCGTCCTACCATGGGTCGCTTCAATCTTGGGAACACGAAAAAGTTGCAGGAGGAGGGGCAAATCTGGTAAATACGGTGACTAAGGCATGATTACGGTATTGTTTCTGGACAAAAAATTATGAACAAGCCATGGCAAGTGAGCAGATGCATTAGGCTTTCACAACCAGAGTCACGAAAATCCGGGTTAGAACCCGGTGTTTCCGGTACCCGGTACCCGGTACCCGGCCGTGGTTGAATGGATTTTGGGTAGATTTTAGAAAGTTCGTCAGCACTTTATTGATTATTTTATGAAAAAGAAAATGAATAAATTTTTCCGATTCCACTTTTCTAGCATGCGAAACATTAGAAAGAACCGGTCAAAATGTACTTAGTGTGAAATATGAAGTATTTAGTTGTGAAAACTTTTGTGTAGTATATAATAACTGGGACTTTTCAATGAATAACATTGAAACAATTAGAGCTGACAAACGGTTTGAAAATTGAAAGAAATCAACAACTGACGTTTGTTCGGCTATCATTCTTCGATTTAATGAGTGCTAGGAGTGTTGCTGCACTGAGAAAATTTGGATGAAATGTATCAGATTTCATATAAGAAGTACCTACCACGTCTACATTATCAAGAATAATAGGAGTAAATTTCATTGAATCCAGAAAGATAACTCCCGTTGGGCCGTACAAGTTGTCGATCCAACCTTCCAAGGGTTCTTTGTAGGTTGATATCACTGAAAATACCAAAATGATATAACAATTGCTTGCTCATTTGGTTATGGCTCTGATATCTCAAACGATTTGCTGGTATGCGATGATTTGATCGTCACCCTTGATGTGGCATTCAGTGATACTTTAAATACTGTTAACTACTGCAATTCACGTATCACGTATATGTAAGGTCTTTCATTAGGCGCTTCATATCTTTCAATTTAAATAAAACAAAGTGTGTGTGTGAGATATCATCGACATTTAAAAATAACTACCATTTCCAAATATAGGTACCCAAATGTTTTTATTTTACGTACCGATGGATGGTCTGAATATTCCTATTGGTAATCCACCACCAATGTCTTTGATTAGTGATTCTGCCAAGAATTTTGTAAAGGTATAAGTGTTGGGCCATGCACCAAGTATTCTGAAAATAAATTTTAGAAATGTTCATTGTGCGTGTATACGCCAACTATATCCTTTTATAGGTATTGATTGAAGTTTCTTACCGTGGAGTTAATAATTCGACCTCGCTTTTATTTAGTTTTTCTAACACAGCTTTAACATCTTCGTAACGAATCACGTGGTCGTATACTTTTTCGTCTATCTCGCTACGAGGACAGTTTGCGTATGCGGTGGATACATATATGAGAGACTGAAAGAAACGCCCCTTAGTTCAGCCATTCTCAACCCTACAGAGATATTTTCTCGAAATATTATAGTTACATTTTCGATATTCTCACCTTTAAATTCATCATTTGTCTAGCGAAATCTACAACTTCCTTGGTTCCGTTCACGTTTATTGTGTAGGCAAGATTCAAACTTTCATCGAACTTCACTGTCGCCGCCACGTGAAAAACTATATCAATTTTCGAAATCAGCGTCTGTCTGTCTGTCATGCAGATCCCCAAACCCGACATTGAACAGTCTCCTGGAATGGCTTCAATTCTGTGCTTGAATTTTGGACATTCTCTTTTGAGAGTGTCAAAAACCTGAAAAGTTGAACTCGAAGTTATTACATTGATACATAAATAAAAATGTAGTCATCTATGTTTTATATAACTTCATCCAGCAAAAATTTACTTTATCCCTATTTTCAAAAATAAAGACCACCTTGAACCTTCAGGTCGATGTTCTTTAAAAGCGTGTTTTTCAGTTTTTTAAACTATATTTAATATTTTGATTTTCTTTTGAACAACCTATCAAGGAGTACAGCGCAATCTGCCCGCGAATAGATCAAGAAATATCAAGTAGGCTACATACAGCGCCATCTGCCCGCGAATAGATCAAGCACTAATGCCGATAATTATATCAATACAGATCCCGAACTTGAGAGTTTCAAGCAAACATGCATACAAACAATCATACATGCATACATACATACAGGTGAAGCTAATATAAAGCGTGTAAAAAAAATAGAGAAAATAAACGAACAAATTACTTTTCAAGTAATGCGATGAAGAGAGTGAAGTTTCATATATTAACTGAACCTTCTCAAAATAAAAATTGACATGTTCTTCGAATTTTTTATTTTTTGTTCATTTCTGAGTTTCAAGAGGGCTCAACTTCACCCGAATGAACATTTCTTTGAGTTATCGATTTTCAGTTGTACATATTCTTATGTTTTCTTCATTGAGATTTCGCGAAGAATGAAGCACCATATGACATGAGGATCATAAATATTTTGAACCTTCGAAAGTATTCCAATCCAGATAACCTCCTCTAGTAAATGAAGAACATGACAATAAAAAAACACGAACCGTACTTTTCTGTACAGATTCACCTCTGTAATACTTCTATCGAAATAATAGTTGAATGAACTTAGCATTGGGTTGAAAAACGTACAGAATGATTATTAGAAACAGATAATTGTAATGACAACTACCAAGCAGAAATTCTTTGGTACTTTGTTTTTCAGAAGATACTTACTACATCATCGAAGATCTCGTCAATTCTTGTATGGATATTTTTCCCTTTCTTTTCTCTAATCAAAAGATACAACGTCGACACTTCAGTTGACCTGAGCAACTTTTCTATAAGTACTTTTCCCATAAATCCTGTGCCGCCAGTGATGAAAACATTCCTGTGTTTGTAAAAGCTTTGAATTTGTGATTCTTCCATTTCGGGAGCGCACCGATCTGAAATTAAAGTAATTTATTTTGAATGGGAAAACAATAAAATTTGAACTTTCCTTATCTAGGAAGTGAAATAATGCTTTCCTAGTAAATATACAGGGTTGCCTAAAGGAAGACGTCTAATGCTTTCAGATAAAATCACCCTCAAATGTATTTTTTGAGTAATGAAAGGTTTTGGCTTCCTACTTCTCCATATTTATACAAAAAATTTGGGAATCTTCCAAAGAAACGAAAAAATCAATTGCGTTCAAATCAAACGCTTTACAAAGATGTGTAGATCATGCAAAGAAGTAACTACATGTGTTACTTAAAAGGGTCATAACCATAACTGGTGACAAATCATGGGTATATGGTTATCAGATTGAAAGCAAAGTCCAATCGTCCCAATGGACGAGCCCAGCAAATACCAAAAAAAAGCACAAGTTCGATCAAGCGTCAAGGTTTTCCTCACTGTTTTCTTCGATTATGGTGGCATAGTGCAAGTAGGTATCTTTTGACTAAATAAATTGTCACATTTTTGTTGAAACGAACAACTTTGCCTCTTCGAGATGGTGCTAATTTCTCGAGAATCGTTACGACAAACAATTAATTCAGCATATGTCATAAGTAATCCGACTGAATACGAAAAATATGCATATAAACTTGGCAAGGGACTTTTTAAGACGTCCACTTTTCTGTTTTCTAAACACGTACTTTCGTATGTGTGTCATAACGAAAAGGAACATGTCCGTCCGATATGCCTTGCCTGACGTAAGGAATTCATTGTCCAATGATTCCGTGATGAATTTTCCAAATAGTAACCTTGGATTTCTGTAGGCAGACATGCAGTTTTCACTAGGTTTCCGTTTGAGTTCAAGGGGCGTTTTTTATTCATCGAATACGGAAAATAAGAGTACGTGTTGGAGCGTACTTGTGCGAATTTTCGTAGCATATTTATTACCTATTAGTCCAATAAAATGAGGATTTAAATTACCATCCGAAAGGCAAGTCTGCATTCTTCAATATAATTTGATTTTACCATACATTTAAAGGATTAATAGTTGAAAAATGTTGAATTTTATTTGGGGTGTAGAAAATGATCAAGAACTACCGCAACAATCACTCTTTTGAAATTATTCCAAAAATACAAAAAAGTTGAAAAAGAAATGTATGTCTTAAAATTTTCTATGAAATCGTCCAGAATCATTGACGTATTCACAATAAAAACCGAGATATTTGCAATAAGTTATTGAAATTAATAGCTCAGGTGTGCGGCATATTAAAACATTTCCAAAAAAATCGAAAACTGTGATTTTTTTAACTTTTTTTAAATCATACAAACACAATCTGACAAATAATCTCAGTGATGTATTTTTTATCAATTCATGAAAAGTTAAACATTTATATTTAAAAAATGTTTTTTACCATTCTTTTGAGTCTATTTTTCCAACATTTTTACATTCACCTGAATTTCTTTCAGTCCTATTCATCTTTAAAAAAAATGATGTGTCTCGGTATAAGGCGAGAAAAATATATGGCCTATCCTTGTTACTCTTATGATCGGTATAAGCGATTTGATATTATTCGTTAGACTTTGTACATATGATTAAAAAAAATTGCAAAACTCGTTGCTGAAATATAAATTTCAATCTTTTATTGCAAATATCTCGTTTTTTTCGCAAATACGTCAAAAGTGATTCAGGACGATTTAATAGAAAATTTTTACCCCTACATTGTTTTTTT